GGTGGAGGAGGACGAGAGGGGGGGGGGAAGGATGAGGAGGAGGAGGAGGAGGAGGAGGAGGAGGGGAACCTGGGTCTCCCGCGCCCTCGCAACGCCCCCTCGAAAAAGGGCAACAGCTCTGGCCCGGACCGTCCCGCGAGAAGCGCGAGCACCTGCGCGCCCCCAGGGCACGGGACGTGGCTGCAGACTGGGCTCCGGCCTGTTCGTCTTCCTCTTCCTCGTCTTCCTCCTCTTTCCTCCTCCTCTTCCTCCTCCTCCTCTCCTTCCTCCTCTTTCCTCCTCCTCCTCATCCTCCTTCCCCCTCTTTCCTCCTCCTCCTCCTTCTCCTCCTCCTCTTCCTGGGGGCGCTCAGCCAGGGGGCTGCACTTCTTCCTCCTCTTCTTCTCTCGGAGGGAACGAAAGGTGGGCACATCAGAGGGCAGGGTAGAGAATCAGCTCACGCAGCTGATTTTCCCAGCGCCTCCAGGCACCGATGTATCGAGGAATGGGCCCGGCGGCGGGGCCGAAACCAGCTGCATGCAGCAGATTTCGTAACCCCCCTTTCCCTATCCCCCCCTTTCGTTCGGCCCGATTCTTCCTCCTCTTCCTCCTCCTCCTCCTCCTCCTCCTCCTCCTTCTCCTCCAAGTCAACAGCACAAGCGACAGCAGGAATCGAGCCGAACCGCGGACGCCTTCCCCCTTCAAGGGGAGCCCCCCCCTTGCTGCCATGATGAAGAACATGGAGATCAGAGGGTGCTTCCACGGGTTCAGCGTGTTCGGGACCTCCCGGTTTCCAGAATCCATCCCTGCTCTGTCCTTCCCACCTGCCACCCGAGCTACGCCCTTCAATTATTGTGCAGCGCCGGATCTCATTTCATGAAGATTCCCCCCCTGATATTTGCCGACCTGTCGTCGACAAGAAACAAGCGAATACACAAATATGAATCTGTGTATATATATATATATATATATACATATACACATACATAGATAAATATGCTTGTGAAGTTGGAAAGTGAAATGAACATGAAACGGAGAGACCCCCACCAGGAACTCGGTTTCGGTTTCGTGTTTGTGACGTGCGAGGGGGTGAGGCGAATTTTCGTGGGAGGGCAAGAGGAATGAAACCGCTGTTGCTAGGGCGAAGCCGTGCTCAATGATTCCCCTCCTCCAATTGGCCGGCGGTGGCTCGGGGGTGTCCCACCGGTGCCCCTTGGTGTCCTGTGGTGTCCCGTGATGTCCCGTGGTTTCCCATGAGGTCGATTGTGAAATCGATAGTGAGATCGATCGTGAGAGTGACAGACAAATCGATCGTGACATAGATAGTGAGGTCGACTGTGAGATCGATCGATAATGAGATCGGTAGATCAAGGGAGGTCCATCGCGAGACCAATCGGTAGATAGAGCGAGATAGATAGAAAGATGGTTAAACAACTGCTCCGTCGTGCCTAACTTGTTTCCACCGAGTCCGATCCGAATTGAATTGCACACCCAAAGCTGAACTCACCCCACAACCTCCTTATCAGCCGAAGGGGAGTAGCATGGGTCTCAAGTTTTGAATGTATTGTATATGTGTGTATGTTGATACCTACCCACGGTGGCCAAGAATGGCGACGCCACTCGACCCAGAGTTTCGAAAGATGGCTCCGCTGGGGTCGCATCAACGCAACGCGAGCCTACCATATTACGCCCTTGCGGCTGAGCCAGGAAGGCAAGTACACCAGCCCCATAGCCCAGGTTTGGCCTTGCCAGCGTTGATCTACAAAACCTGGGCGTAGGTGGTCTAACGATTTGCTTCCTTCCCCAAACAAGGCTTGCACTTAGGAGGTCTTGCATCTCCTCTGAGCAACTGGGCCTGTCTGTCGTTCTGGCGGCTATGTTGTTGCCGTCGCCGCCCCCTCGCCACCTCGTCGCCGCCTGAACCTTGGCTTGTCTGTCGGTTTGTCGGCTATGTCGTGGCCGTCGCCGCCGCGTTGCCACCTTGTCGCCACGCGTACCTGGGGCTGTCTGTCGGTCTGGCGGCCATGTTGTCGTCGTCGTCGCCGCCTCATCGCTGCCCGTACCTGGGCGTGTCTGTCAGATTGGCGGCATGTTGCCGCCATCGCCGCCCAGACGTAGATAGCACAACATAAATTTCACAATATCATCTTCATAACGTAGATAACAGCACACACATATTACACGGCACATGCTGCAACACATCTATTGCCCCACGTAGACTGCACTACTGGACAGCGTAGATTGCACCACATCTATTGCACCACGTGTATGGCACAACGTATACTGCACCACTTAGAGTGAACCACATAGGTTGCACAGCACGGCTGCGACACATCCATTGCACCACATCTACTGCACACCACAGATTGCACTACCACCTATATTACACAACGTATACTGCACAACATGTAGTACACAACACTGAGTGCACCACCGATATTGCACAACCTATACTGCTCCGCGTAGGTTGGGGTCCACGCCGCCTAACGTTTGCTCATCCACAACTCCCTTCACGTTGGGGACGGGTACCACCCCCGTATCGGGGGTTTTGTAAGGGAGTCCGCGATGTGTCAGAGGGTTTTTTTCGCTCAAGATTGCACCGCGAGGGCCTCCTCCGATACTCTCAGATAGCGTGCGATGGCCCATTCTGGCTTTCAACATGCTCTGAAATATTCCAATAAGGCCGCTCCACGATGTCCGCAAGTGCTCTCGGAACCCACTCGGAATTTCCGAAGAAGACGAAATCGTTCAACACCTGAAAAATTACCCTGGCGAAAGACCCAACCACACGCAAGTGTGAGAACAGCAAAGCAGGTGGGACGAAACAAGGGGGAATCCCTATGGGGCCACGAACCGGCCCCACCTCATTTTGGCTCACCCGTCACACGGTTCGCGGCCTCATAGGGAGCTCCACCGAAAGCCCAAGTGGCAGGTTCGCATGGCGGCCCCGCGCCATTTTGGTGCAACCCTCACTCGGTTCGTGGCCCCATAAGGAAATCCACCGAAGGCCCCCGTGGCAGGGTTCGCATGGCGGCCCCGCAGGGTTCGCATGGCGGCCCCGCCCCATTATGGCGCACCCCTCACACCGTTCGTGGCCCCACATGGAGCTCCACCGAAGGCCCCAGTGGCAGGGTTCGCATGGCGGCCCCGCCCCATTTTGGCGCACCCCTCACACGGTTCGTGGCCCCATAGGGAGCTCCACCGAAGGCCCCAGTGGCAGGGTTCGCATGGCGGCCCCGCCCCATTATGGCGCGCCCCTCACACCCTTCGTGGCCCCACAGGGAGCTCCACCGAAGGCCCCAGTGGCAGGGTTCGCATGGCGGCCCCGCCCCATTTTGGCGCACCCCTCACACGGTTCGCTGCCCCATAGGGAGCTCCACCGAAGGCCCCAGTGGCAGGGTTCGCATGGCGGCCCCGCCCCATTATGGCGCACCCCTCACACCGTTCGTGGCCCCACAGGGAGCTCCACCGAAAGGCCCCAGTGGCAGGGTTCGCATGGCGGCCCCGCCCCATTTTGGCGCACCCCTCACACGGTTCGTGGCCCCATAGGGAGCTCCACCGAAGGCCCCAGTGGCAGGGTTCACATGGCGGCCCCGCCACATTTTGGCGCCAAAACGCGGGGCCGCCATGTGAACCCTGCCACTGGGGCATTCGGTGAAGCTCCCTATGGGGCCACGAACCGTGTGAAGGGTGCGCCAAAACCCGGGGCCGCCGTGCGAACCCTGCTACTGGGGCCTTCGGTGGAGCTCCCTATGGGGCCACGAACCGTGTGAGGGGTGCGCCAAAACGCGCCTTCGGTGGAGTTCCCTACAGGGCAACGAAACGCTGTACTGGGTGTGTAAAACGCAGGGAGGAGGGAGGAGGAGGGGAAGGAGGGCAGGAAGGAAGGAACGCGGGGCACCACTTCTTCAAAACGAGGACCCAACACCACAGGATGGTTAAGGACACCACAAATGTGTTCGCAGTCTCGTCTTTTCGCTTACGATTGGCTTTTGAGGCCTCTGGATGACCCCAAGATGGCCCAAGAGAGCCCCAAGAGGGGCCCAATAGGCCCCCTAGACTGAAGGGGCGCCGCGAATTAAGCCCCCCCATCACTGACCGACATCCTCCAAGATGACATCAAGTCTTCTCCGAAAGTTTCCAAAATTGTCTTAAAGGCACCCAGGAGGCCCCCGAGAGATCCACAAGAAACTCCCAAAATATCCCTAAGAGGCCACAAGGAGGCCCCCCCGAGGTCCTCAAGACGCTGCAAAAGGCCTCTGGGACCGCCAAGAAGCCCCCCAAACGACCACCAACAACTCCAAGAAGCTGTCAAGAGACATCCGGAGATACTCCCAGAGGCATCCAAGAGGCATCTGGCCGTTTTGCTCGCCCCACTCCTCCTCCTCCTCCTCCTCCTCCTCCTCCTCCTCCTCCTCCTCCTCCTTTTCCTCCTCCTTTCCCTCCTCCTCGTCCTCCTCCTCTTCCTCATGCGTCTATGCCTCATCCTTCCTCCTCCCTCCTGATCCCCCTCCTGCTCCTCCTCATCTCCCCCTCTGCGGGTACGACGGCCTACCCAGCCGTTTTTTCACTACATGCTCCTCCACATCCCAGATCAGGGCAACTTACCAGAATATCGTTTCTCGTTGCTGGTGGGCTTGCGCGAAGCGGCCAGACTTCCCGCCAGCTCCGTGGGAGAAGGCTCCCTAAGGATAGTACGCCCTGGAGGCAGTCCTGGGACTGTTCCCCAGACCATCCATCACCAGAAATCGATTGATGGCCGTTGAGCCCGACATTGAACCAGGGGAGGCGAACAGGACGCAGCGGCGAAGATGAAGAGGAGGGCCAACAGAGGGAAGGAAAGGACCAAAAGGAGGCCGCGGCAGGCGCAGCTGTGATTCCCGTGGCCACGAACACAAACGAGACCCTGCACGAGAGCATGTGAATGGCAGGGACGGTCGGGAGGCGACGACCGGAACGATGGCTGAATTCACAGAAACGCGTGTCTCCCCCCATGCCGCCCAACTGCCCCCCCCCCCTCTCCTTCCAACGCGGCAATGGCTCGGAAGCCCAGGTCTTCCGCGCAAGCCCGCGCAGGCGCCCCCGCTCGGAGCCGCAAGCTGTGCGGGTGCCCGTGCTCGCACAGGTTCCACCGGTCGATGCCCAGGTGCCCACGGGCAGCTGCTAGGTCAAGAGGATGATGGGCTGCCAGCCTTGATGCCGCCTGTGATCTGGGTGTGATTGAGCTCCAGGTCAGCGAATTTGCCGACGGCCTGCAGCGCCCCGATGTCGCCTGTGACCTCGGTGTCACTCAAGCCCAGCATAGTCAGGAGGACAAGGGCCTGCAACGCCCCAGTGATGCCTGTGACCTGGGGGGGTTCAGGTCCAGCCTGGTCAACTGGACGATGGCCTGCAGCGCGACGATGTCGCGTGCGACCTGGGTGTCGCTCAGGCGCAGCTCGGTCCACTGGACCAGGACCTGCAACGAACCGATGTCGCCCTGCGACCTGGGCGTCGCTTTTCGAGCTCGACAATCCACCTCGAGTCGGCCCTCCACCACGAACTCCATGAGCAGCGCGCCGACCACCAGGATGAGCACGAGGGCCATGAAGATGAGTGGCACGGCTCACGCCAACGTCGTACCGAGGGAGATCACGACGAGGCCGATGACGTCGAAGTGATGACATACGAACCAAATTGACGACACCTAACGGCCAAAACCAGACCACCACGTACAAACCCTCGAGCGGGAGCCACATCCTATGCCAGGAAGCCCGTCGCCACATACAGCATCAGGACGCTCCCTGGACAAGGAAAAAACAAACTGCAGGGCAAGATGGACCGCTCCATGCACAGGATGGCGAACATCGCACGTACATGACACCTATTCAAGGCATCATCCAACAACGAGACAACACTGACACGAACGAGACCCGACAGATCGCTCCCACGGTCGTCTACTATGGAGCGGCCACCATACGACCTTTGGAAAAGCAGGCCTTCTGTAGGGCTAGGGGCATGTCGCAGTCCCGTCGGTGTCCATGAGCTGCTGGGTGCAACTGGCTCCGCGGCGGCCACGGAGCCCCCCACGCCAAAAGAACCGTCGGCTCCCCGAGCAGCAGTATGCAAGACACCACCACCACCGACATCCGTAGCGTCGGACTGCGGCTCCCTGGCCATGCCAGAAGAACCGTGGAACTTGCCAACCACCTTCTCCACGACGGACGACGGGCACCGCGCTCGCGACACCGCCGAACTGCTGCTCCTCGATCTCCTGGCGTACGGCCCCGGCCTGCGCGGCGAGGCGCAAGCTAGCCTCCAGGCCATCTCCGAAGGCCTTGGCACGCAAGGCTGGGGCTCCGAACGGGACCCCCCAGGTGCCAGGAGCCAGCGCCTCGCCGCCTGAAACGACCTGCGCCACCTCCTCGCCGAGCACGGGCCTGGCCGCACACCCCAGCCTCGACGGGGCAGCAGCGCAGGCGCCAAGCCGTGGGCCAACTGTTGCCCAGGCGATCCCATCGCCCGCGGCTGCGGCGAAACCACCGGCTGGCGCGAGAGCCGCATGCTATGCCGCGTTTCGCCGCCTGCGTGTGGCTCCTGGCACTACCGCGCCGGCCGACAGGAGCTTCAGCGCGGGCCGCGCCGCCAGCTCCCTGTCTTCCTGGCAGAAAATCCGCCCCGATAAGTTAAGAACCACCCCGACACGCGAGGCCTGTAATAAGCGCGCCCAAAGAAGGAATCGAACAAGGCACGGCTGTTTACTCAACGCCCAGGACCTTTTAGTAAACGCAAATTGTCCGGTCCGGATGGTTTTTGCCTCCCTTGACTGTCTTGCCAGGAGCCTGGCTCGCCGACGCAAGCACGGGCGCGCAGCGCAGCATCGCGAGCATCCCGAAGGCGCCGACGAGCAGCGCGGCGAGCCGCAGGCCCAGCGTTGCCGCGCCCCGATATCTCGCCTGCGACCTGGGCGTGGCGCAGGCCCAGCCCGGTCAACCTGACGAGGGCCTGCCGCGCCCCGATGTGGCCCGCGGCCTGGGCGTGGCGCAGGCGCAGCGTAGCCCACTGGACGAGGGCCGGCAGGGCCCCGATGTGGCCTGCGACCTGGGTGTCGCTCAGGCGCAGCCCGGTCCACTGGACCAGGACCTGCGGCGCCCCGATGTCGCCCTGCGACCTGGGCGTCGCTGTTTGAACTCGACTGTCCACCTCGAGTCGGCCCTCCACCACGAACTCCATGAGCAGCGCGCCGACCACCAGGATGAGCACGAGGGCCATGAAGATGAGTGGCACGGCTCACTCCAACGCCGTACCGAGGGAGATCACGACGAGGCCGATGACGTCGAAGTGATGACATACGAACCAAATTGACGACACCCAGCGGCCAAAAAACCAGACCACCGCGTACAACTGGATGAAGGCCTGCAGCGCCCTGATGTGGCCTGTGACTTGGGTGGGGCCCAGGTCCGGCCTGGCCAACTGGACTGATAGCAGCAATGGGCCCTGCAGCAATACTGTTAATAGTGGGCCGCGGATGCATTGCAGAGCGGAATTGGGGGCTGGGAAGGGGATGGCGCTCCTTGACGTATACCTTGGCCTCTTTTGCGGCCGCCACGATCGCCGCGGCGACCTCCGACTTCTCCTCCCCCAAACTCCGCCGCCTCCGTCCAATTGGCTCCTGTTGGCTTTGAAACCGTCCGTTGCAGCAGAGCGAGAAGGCGGCAACCAAAAACAGTTCAAAGGGCAAGGAAAGAAGCGGCTCAAGGAGGGATGGACGACCAACCTGCCTGCACGCTCCACGTCAGCGGCCTTGATTTCCAGAGTCCTCCCAAATTGGGACGGAGAAGATGGGGTCGGAGGATCGCGCTGCATCGTCGATGCATCTCCGATGCATCGGCGGCATCAGCGACGACGGCGTGGAGAAAACCCTGCTAAAATCCGGCTCCACATCGGACCGCATGGCCGAGGTGTCGAAATCCTAGGAATGGTGCTCTGGCGCTACTCAGGATCGTCGAGACGCAGCAATCAGAATAATTCGTGTCGTCGGAGTCCCGATCATGATGTTTTGATACGCTTCAGGATCTTCAAACGGTTGTCTCCCAACGGGGCACTTCTCTCAGTGCAGATGAACCTTTGTAGGGGCCTATGAAAATGGAGCTTGGAGGAAGGGTTTATTCCAACATCGTTGATGAATATTGGGTCCTCATCCTCACTCTGGTCCTCCTCCTCTTTCGCCTCCTCCTCCACCTTCTCCTCCTCCTCCTACTCCTCCTCTTCCCCTGATCACTCATCGCCACGGCCATAGTTCGCCCCGGCATCCTGGCCCAGAACGCGCTCCGAAACCTGGGAAGTCACTGCGCGAGCCCCGACAAGCCATCCGGCCATTCTGGATCCTGGACCTCTGGTGGACCTTGGTCGGATACCCGAGCGCCATGCCGATGCATCCGCTTGAGGCAGGATGCGCCTCCAAGAACCTCGAAAGGCCGACCCCTCGGGGCGGAGGCCTCGCTGGAGACTCCTCGCAAGAGGGGGCGACGAGGAGCAGCAGGAGGAGCAACGGGAGGAGGAGCAAGAGGAGGAGGGAGGAGGAGGAGGAGCAAGAGGAGGAGGGAGGGAGGAGGAGGGAGGAGGGAGGAGGGAGGAGGAGGAGAGGAGGGAGGGAGGGGAGGAGGGAGGGAGGGAGGGAGGGAGGGAGGGAGGAGGAGGGAGGAGGGAGGAGGAAGTGCAGCAGCAGGAAGAGCCACAGGAGTCGGGAGGGCTTCGTCCCGAGCCGCTCCTGGGGGTGGTCCTGGGGCCCAGAGCCCGCGACCACGGCCCGACGCGGGGAGGCCAGAGGCTCGGTGGCCGCGCCAGGGGCGCCGACGTGGCCCCCCCCCGCGCGGTTCGCGCGCGTCGGGGGCCGGAGCTGGACCGCAGCTGGAGAACACCTCTGGAGCAGGCTGTGGGCTGCACCTGGGCCTTCGCACGGGAGGCGCCAGGAGGAGGAGGAGGAGGAGGGGGAGAGGACAGAGGATCTCAGAGGTAGGGGGTCGTGCGTCGCGCCGCGCGCTCGGGCGCGCGCGCGGCGCGGGCTGCGGCGGACAAGAACCGCTTTGCCCGCAGTGCCGCAGGGGGAGAGGGGGCAGCCGGAGGGGCGAGGAGGAGGAGGCCGGAGAGGCGCCGGATGCGGTACAGGTGCAGGGGCGGCTGATGCCGGCGTCGGCGTGCAAGGCTCTCGTCTGACGAGACAGCGAAAGCGGGCAGCAGCCGCAACCACAAACAGAAGGCCGCAGCCCTCGGACCATGCCGTCCAGCTTCCCGGGCGGGAGGCACCCGCGCGAGCTCAGCTCGATGCACCGCGCGACGGGCACGATGGAGCACCAGAAGAACGCCTCGAGGGGAGGAGGCGGCCGACGAAAGGTGCGCGAAGGGGAAGCGCAGGAGGGCAGCCGGGTGAGAGGGATGCGGGAGGAGGATGCCGCTGGACATCTGGGCTCACGTGCAGCCGACATAGGCGCACAGGGACAGGAGCGGGGTCGAGCCAATCCATACGAGCAGCCCGGGACGCCTGCATGAGAGGCCTGCCACCAGGGGACCGGCGTGGCAAAGCACATGGAAACATCGTGGGCAAAGACAAATGGAACCCCAAGCAACCAGACCCGATATTTGTGCATACAGCTCTCGAGCCAGAGCGATCTCTGACATCCCCGCGCCATGAAACATGGCGACAAGCGTTTTCTGAAAGCTGTCGGCCTCCAGGGGTTTGCCATAAGACCCAGGGCTGTCACAAAATGATGTTGTTTCGACGCATCCCCATCGCATACTTCGGCATTTGCTCTCGAGTCTAGCATTGTTTGGTATTTGTTTACGGTGGCAAGCCAGAGCTCGAAACGCATGTCGCGTTTGACGAGACTCGATTACTCGGCCGGTTCTGCATGATGCTCTCCGTCTATTGTTTTCTCCTGAAGGCGCCGTTAATTTATCGCCGCAGATTTCTACAACATTCTACTGTGTTGCTTCACTTATGTGTGTATACTACGAACAAGTATGTTATGTTATGTTCTGGACGGACCATCGTTACGTCGTGACGCCCTTCAAATTTGATGCGCCGTCCAATCGGTCGTTGCTATGCCTCGTTGTTCCTGTGACCAACTTGACGTCGGCACGCATGTCGCGTTTCATAGAAAACCAGTATGGTGTTACACCCTCTTCTCATCCTGTTGTGAATACTATACCCTGCTATGTCGTGTTAAATCAAAACTGTTCATCGTAGGCCCATTCAATCAATATCATACTATGCATTGTTGTATGGGATGTCTGGTTCGGTCATGGTATGCTCTTACGTGTTGAATCATACATGTGCGTATACACATAAACAATATTTCGAATGATTTGGTGCGCTTGACTTGAAGGAACTTGTCTTGAGAACTCGCGTCATCCTGACTACTGGCGCGCGAGGACATGGGCACGCCAACCGCTCCTCCAATTCTGTTTCTGAGACATCCGGAGATCCAGGGGAACCCGGGAAAACTGGCGACGTATTCCAAACCGGAGCCCTCGCGCGTGATCTCAACAAAAACAACCGGACCACCGCCCTCGTGTGGGACATCCTCAGGAACCGGCCCCCCGAGCCTCCCCTATGATAAGAGTCCCTCAGACGACGCGAGCCGGGGCGCACTGGGAGCGTCTCCGTCGGGGGCTCTCGCTCGAGACTTCTTTCCAAAGTCGACCCCCAGCGCGCGAGAAAGTCGGGGCCCATAGCGCCTCCAGGGATCATCTTCGGGGCTCTGCTGGCACGCGCCAGGGCGCGCCGGGGCGCACGGGGCGCGTCCCAGTCGGGGCTCTCGCTCGAGATACCTCTCAAGATCAAAACCGACCCGCTCCCTACAGAGCGCCAGGTGGGTGAGGCCATGAGGCAACGAGGCAACGATATGGGGGAGAACTGGTCTCATCAAATTTCGCTGCCCCCGAAATCGCTGAGCGATTTAGGGGCAACGAGAAAATCAGGCCCCCAAGCGCCCCCAGGGACCATTGCTGGGGATCTGCCGGCGACCGCCGGGGCGCACATGGGCGCACCGGGCGTGTCACAGTCTGGGGCTCTCGCTCGAGACATCCTCGCACAAGTTTACCTGGGCGTGTCCTACTCTGGTGCTCCCACTCGAGACACCCTCACAAAGTCGCCAAAGATCCCCCCCCGAGTGAGGCCCCCGAGGACGATGACGAGGATTACCAGGGAGGAAGACGTAGGAGGACGGACGGAGGAGGGGAGGAGAGAGGAGGAGGAAGGGGAGGAGGAGGATGAGGATGAGGATGAGGAGGAGGGGCAGTACTAGGAGGAGGACGGGGAGGGGGAGGAGAAGGAGAAGAGTTGGAGGAGGTGGTGGAGGAGGAGGTGAAGGCGGAGGAAGAGGATGAAGAGGTGGAGGAGGTGGAGGAAGAGAGAAGGATGAGGTGGTCAGCACCAGGAGGGCGAGCCTCACCATCCTGATCCTCGCTCTGATCATCCTCACCCGCGGCGCCACTGCCTCCCGCTCATTCTCTTCTCGCCCACAGACGCACGCCCCATCTTCTATATATACAATATCTCCCGATGAACCGCAGAGCGGCCGGCTCTTACTGCGTGGCACTGCTGTGGTGCAGTCATCTGTGCACTGCTCGTGCCTGTCATGTTGTGCTGGCGTTGCGGCTTTGTCTGGATTGTGCGATCCAGCAATGCTCTCGCCTGTTCTACTGTGCTGGCGTTGCAGCTTTGTCTGGATTCTGCGATCCAGCAAAGCGCTCGCTTACACTCTCGTTCGCACTTCCATGGCATTGCAGTGTGCAAGCAGCATGTTGTCTTGTGTTGTTGGGGTCTTTGCCATCATCTGCGGTGCTATGATGCCGTGAAGTGTCTTGTCTCTCACGTTGCTCTCAGAAGCATCCGCTAGCAATGGTGTGTAATGCACGGTGTTCTGCTCGTGCAGATGATCTGGGAATCTTTGGAATTGCAACACGTTGTGATACAGTGCGACTGCAAACCTTCTCCTGGCGAAGGACCATGTGCAACTGCAAGTATCGCGTGCAAGTGAGGGCCTTCGGCCGCTGGGGTCTGCGGTGGGAATTCTCATGGGGCCACGACACGTTCGAAGGGTGTGCAGAATTGGCTGCGGTTACGCCAT